CTGCCAGGCTATGCAAGGCTCTGCCTCAGAACACAGAAGAAGCAGAATCTTGGCATCTGTCCTGTAGGAACTCATAAAGCACTTCTGGAAGATGAGATCGATGCTCATACATGGCAGTGAAGGTGGGCTTTTAGGTGGGCTGGCCCTAAGTGTTCCTGGCGCTCACAGAAGAGGGAATTGGGTGAGGCCTGGAGTTGTCAGGAAGGCTTCATAGATATGGCAGAGGTTGAGCTGGGCCGGGAAAGTTGGGTAGATTTTTGAAAAGTTGGAGGTAAATTTGGAGACGTCACAGGAACTCTGTAGCTCTGTAGGAACACAGTAGGGTACACAATCAAAAGTATTTCTTCCACTGCCCTTGAACCATTCTCTGAATCCCTCCCCCAAGGCTGGTTGTGCTTCCAGGTTCCAGTATACACTTAGAGAAATACTCATTGTGGGGCACCTGGGTGGCTCAGTTGGTTGAGCATTCCACTCTTGATTTCTGCTCAGGTCACGATCTCAGGGTCCTGAGATTGAGCCCCGTGTTGGGCTCAGCGCTCAGCATGGAGTCTGCTTGTCCCTCTCCCTCTGCTCTGCTCCCCTGTGTGCATGCACTCTTTCTCTCTCATAAATAAAATCTTAAAGAAAAAAAAAAAAAGAAACAGTGCATCTGCACTCTGCTTTCTCTTGTTTGTCTTCACAGACTTATTGCGTATTTACCCAGAAAGGCATCCATTCTTTTCCATGGTGGTGTTATATAGTCCATTGTGTGGATGTAATGGTATTTTAATCATCTCCCTATTAATGGATACTCTGATTGATTTTAGTTTTTCTTATGACAAGGCTTAAGTGAACACCCTATGAGTAACCCCTTGCAAATGTCCCTGTGGAACAGATTTCTTCAAGTGAAGTTGCCTCTCAAATGTCATATACCGTTACAATTTGACCAACAAAGGGGCACCTGGGTGGCTCAGTCGGTTAAGTATCCAACTCTTGGTTTCAGCTTAGGTCCTAATCTTAGGGTCATGAGTTTGAGCCCTGTGTTGGGCTCCATGCTGGGTATGGAGCCTACTTAAAAAAAAAAAAAAAAAAATCGACCAAGGAAAAGTTCTGTTCATATGCACTCTGACCAGATTGTAGGAGAGTGGCTTTTCATCAAAAGTCTCATCAGTACTGGGTATTAGTCATTTAAAATTTTATCTAATTTATGACAGATTTCTTGTTCTAATGATGTAGTTCTTTAATCACTATTGAGAGTAGGTACCTATTTTTGTACATTTATTAGCCATTTCTGGTTCTTCTGTGAATTTTCCATTTTTGTACAGATTGATCATTCTTTTGTATGTGTTCTTTATATACTAGTGATGTTAACCTTTTTGTATTGTATGTTGCATGTATTTTTCAAGTCTGTCATTTTTTAAAGATTTTATTTATTTGGGGGGAGAGAGAGAGAAAGAGAGAGAGAGAGAGAGAGAGAGAGAGCGAGCACACAAGGTGGGGGCAGGAGAGGGAGAAGCAGACTGCCCGCTGAGCAGGGAGCCTGATAAGGGACTTGATCCCCGGACCCTGAGATTGTGACCTGAGCTGAAGGCAGACACTTAACTGACTGAGCCATCCAAGCGCCCCAAGTCTGTCATTTTTTTATTTTTAAAATTATGGTGGTTTTCACCATAGTCATTTCAAACTTTTATGTAGTTAGTTTATTAACCTTATTTATAGTTCTGAGATTTGTGACTTGCCTGGAAGGCCTTTCTCCCATTTGAAAATAGCAAAATATTCCTCTGTATTTTCTTGTAGTATTTTTTATCTTTCTTGCACACATACATACACGCACTCCATTTAGGTCTTTGGATCTTTAATCATTTGGAAATATGTTTTTGTGGTAGGATACATGGTCTGATTTCCTTTTCTGAAAGTAGATGCCATATTGTTTGGACACCATTGGCTGATGGCCCCTTGATTTGAAATGCTGTGGTAATTGTAACTAAGTACAGGTTTGATGTGAACCATTCATCTGTAACATTGATCTCCTTGCTTTAGTCTTGCTCCTAGAACCCCAGGGTCTTAACTTGTCACTCTCTTACACATTTGCTTATCTGGAAATGCAAGTCCTCTCACACTATTCTTTTTGGAAATTTTACTGGCTGTTCTTATGCATTTGCTCTTTCATGTGAGCTTAGTTTCAACTTACCAGGTTTCAGAACACAACAGTATATCCCACTGGGGTTTTATTGGGTTTGCGTTGAACTCAAAGAATTTTTAAGTGGCAGTTGACAGCATCGTCATGTTGAGACTAGATCCACTGGCTCAGGTTTGGTCATGGCTCTTCTTTTCACTGCCACCATCCAAGCCACTGTCCCTTCCACACTGGGCTTCAGAAGCAGCCCATCAAGTGTCTCCTTGTGACCACTGGCCCCTCTGATCCCTCTTCACACTGGGCCAGGGCTTTATGTCAGGTGTTCCCTGAACTTGAGAATATTCCCTTTCCAGCCCCTCTTCCTTCAGTAATTTCTCGTCTGTGGGTCTTTTCTCAGTTGTCATTTCCTCAAGGAAAACTGACCAACTAGGCAGAATTTCCTTCCCACAGTTGTCTTTCCCATCCTTACCCCTTCTCTTGAGTCCAGTTGTCATTCTGCATTTGTTCTGAGTTTTCTGAGCACAGGGCTGCGTGTGCCGTTCCCTCGTGTGGTCCCTCTGCCCTCACTGGACCAGGTGCTCCTTAAATGCTCCTTAGTGCCAGTGAGCTTGGTGTTTTCCTCTGTGTCTTCATGTCTTTAAGGAAAACCTTCACAGTTTGCTTTCCATGGTTGTGTCTGTTTTTTGTTAAGCTTATATCTATAACATTTCCTATTTGTTTTGTTGCTGGTGGGGAAAAGCTGTTGATGTTTGAACATTCTTGAATCTGCCCGTCCTGCTGAACTCAGCCCTCATTGCTGCCTGTCTTGGTTGGCTTCCTCCTCAGGCTGATTGGGTACTGGTTAGGTGCAGCAGCCCCAGCCTCACCTCTGACCCTAACAACCTGCAGAGGAAGCAAGAGATTGTTGCCCCCAAAAGATTTCTGAAGAGCAAGGAGGGGCTTTCTCCTCAGCAGCCCCCAGCTCATTCGCTCTCTTCTCTGGCTCAGGTAGAGTCCCAGGCTCATTGTGGAGTCCCTCCCGGGTGAGGGCGGGGCTCAGCTCTGCACAGCCAATCAGTTCCAACTTCCCCCCGGGCTGACTCCCCTCATTACCGGGGCTGTGGGGAGGTGGTGGGGCGATTGTCACTTTGTATAACCGGGATTCTGCTAGAGAGGCCAAGGGGCAAATAGGCCTGGGGTGAAAGTCTACACTGGACATCCAACAGAATGGTCCTATGACTTTCCCATCAACCCAGTTGAACACTTGGATAAAACTATGAGATGTCCTGACTTGGAGCCATTCTTTTATTCCTGGAGTAAATCGTGTGTACCAGTCTTTGAACATCTGCTTGTGTTTTGATCTGCGAGGATTTTGTTTTAGACTTTTTGTCCATATTCATGAGTGAGATTTGTCTGTGTTACAGGAAGCCCTTTTAGTAATGGAAATTAATAGAGTGGAAAGATTCTGGGATGCAAAGGTCACTTAGTTCCTGGGCCACTGTGGCCACGTCACCTAGCCTCGCTGAGCCTGCTCCTCACTGGCATGGTGGGGACAGCCCTGATGGACTCGGGCTGCCGTAAGGAGCAAATAGTACCCATGAAAGCAACTGCTTCATGCTAACGTGGCACAGACTCAGAACTCTGTCCCATATGTACATTCAAGGCACTGTGTTTGTGAGTTTCTTCCATGAGGAGACAGGTTTGGAGAATGCTAACAGTGGAGATTTCTCTCGGCTTTCTTCATATAAACCATCATCAGAAAACCAGCCTTGTGCAGGAGGAGAGGCCCTGGGAACATGACGGTAAACATTACATTATTGGTGTTCGGATATTAGGTTCCTGCTTTTCATAATATCCTCAGGGTGCAGGGGAAGATTCGATATTTTCTGAGATTCTGCTGTAAAGTGCAAGTTATTGCTGGTACCGTCACCCAATTATTCTGTACTTATTTTACTTAGACTGTAGTAATTGGAAAAAGATTAGATGTCAGGACTTTGTATTTTGTTGATTATATTACCAGAGCCTCTTTAATCGTTTCTTTTATTCCTAATATTAATCATGAGCTCCTAGCTGTTACGAGAAGAGCCTGATGGTGGATTCCTAACTTAAAGGAAAGAAAGAATTACTTCAGTTTCCGTGGGATTGACTGAGTGTTGATACACCTGCAAATTGAAACATGTTCTCTCGCTGTTCGGGGCGTGTGGCTGTGACACTGGGGAGACGCAGAAGGTCCAACGGACCTCAGGGGCTGGTCTCCTCCCCACCCGCTGCCCCCTCAGTCTCTGCTGTGCCCTCTCCCGCCCCCTGTGACCGCCCGCCCGTGGGTATTTGTGGAGGCAGCAGCGACTGTCGTAGTCTGCCTTGAAGGACGTGGCTGCCCCCTTGATGAGTGCTCTGTGGACGCAAGCTTGTCTCTGCGACACTGTCTCTTTCAGAGCAGTCCTGAGCAAAGCACCTCATGTCCGTAAGCAGTGAATGGTGAGAGGGAGAAAGTGTGCAGGAGAGAAGGGAGCGCCGGGCGGGTGGCAGAGGTGGGGACGGGTGTCGGTGGGGGACTGAGGGAGGGAGGGAGGGGGCGTGTGGAGGGGCCTCAGCTGCTCCAGGGAGGAAGGTGGGTGGTGCCCCACCTGTCCCAGGGTGGCTCTGGGGACGCTTGCCATGCATTTAGCAAACGTGTACTCTGTGCGGCTTAAATGTAGACACTTAGCTTTGCCGGAGCGGAGGTCACTCAGCGTCTCTCGTATATTGAGAACAATCAGTATCTGAAATCTTTCTCACTTAGGTTCACTCTGGTTTCATTTATGGGGCCCCCCTCCCCCCAGGAACACTGACGAAATAGGTCAAGGCCCTGCGGGGAGTTCCCTGTTTGTAAAGCCTGTTTTCTTTGTCTCTTTGTTGTCCACAGAGGAATTACGGAAGTTGAGCTGGTCCGGAATCCCTAAGCCGGTTCGTCCAATGACCTGGAAGCTGCTCTCAGTAAGTCTTGGGGGGCCTGCTCACCAGTGCTGCCTGGCCCAGAGCGTGGCCCCGAGTGTGGCCCGGAGCGTGGCCCATCAGCCATGGCCAGGCACGCGCCTTGTCTTTGTGGCAGTGATCTGGGCCTTTGCCTGAGCTAAGGTGACATTTTCCATCTTTTGCTTCATTACAAGCTTGGTTTGACAAGGCTGGCAGAAAATGAGCTTAAGTAATTATTTATGACAGCTGTATTCTTTTCCTCTGGTTTTATTATTCTAGAAATCTTTGTAATATTTTCAAACCTGTGATACAGAAAGGATCCATCATAGAAGACTATTTCAATTCTTAGGAATTCATCACAGTGAAATATGTTTGACCATTTTTTTTTTTAATGTACTTTAGTAGTGATGTAAGGGGGAGAAAGTGATTCTAAAAGTATCTGTGTTTCCTTGATGGAGGCTGGGGTTCTGGTGCCTCACCCCTGGTTCTAAACTGCCCACCTGTGGAGACTGCTGGAGAAGATGAGGTGGGCGGGGTGGAGCGGCCGTCGGCACTCGCTCTGGTACTTCACTCGGGTTAATATCTGAAGTGAGCTTGGCCCTGCTGAAAACTTGGGAGCAGTTTATAGACCAGTTTTTTTCTCTTTCCCTTTTTAAATTATTTTTGGAGCTAAATCAGTAGGGAACTCTAAGTGTTTACTCTAAATTGGGTCTGACTTTCAGTATTTAAAAGACTCTTTCTTGCTAATGAGTCTTAATAAATTTACAGCTTAGTACCTCGTAATCCTAAATGCAGATGCCACTCTCAACAGTGAATCTTTATTGATTAAATATTCTCTTGCAATTAAAATTAGACCTGCTACAATTGCTTATGTTTCTGTTTTGTGTCTGTTATTTTAAGCATTTGTATCTGCTTTTCCAAATGTCCTGTACAATAGGTTACAAGCTTTTTAGATTGAACTGTAGGAAGTTTGGACGATACTATGTTTAAGACTTTATAGTGCAGTTTTATATTTATGGAGGTTGCGCTGCCTCTGGGTAGAAGGCCTTCCTGAATGGTTTTGTCCCATTCCTTTCCGCTGGTTCTCGGTCTGTGTGCATTGTAGCTGAGCTACCCTGTGTGTGATGCCCAGTGGCTGGCTGGGCAAGTGTGTGACCTGGGATTCAGTGGGCACTGGAGCAGAAGGGGGAGGAGATAGATGCTCCACTTTGTTGCTTTGAATGGGAGGGAGGGTGTAGGTGGGTTGAGTCTGTAACCAGGAATGTTGGGAATACAAGGGAAAGAGTATCTGGGCGTCTCAGATCCATGTATTTGTGTAACCGTTAACTGACTGCAGGGACCCCTTGCCTGGAGAGAGAGATGAATCAGATCCTAGCCCTCCCTGTTAGGAGGGGCTGGGTCAGGTCAGGGCTGCAGGACAGTCTGGGATCACACACAGTGGGATGTGTGGGATGCAGGCAGGAAGGAACGGGCAGCCGCAGAGCAGGGGCATGTGTGCCAGGCTGGGCTTCCCTTTCCCAGGGTCTGCAGGTGCTGCAAGGTGGGAGGCTGGGGACTGGGAAGGACAGAGACGAACTTGGCAGTTCTGGACCTCTTTAGGCTTGGGTTGACGGATGAGTTAAAAAAAAGTGTTGGGGTCAGTGAGCAAAGCCTGTCTTTCCAAAGTGGCGGAGGGTGGGGGCACCAAGAAAGGGAGGGGCGGTTCCAGGGCAGTGCAGACTCCTGTGGATGGCAGACCAGGCTTCTTGGTGAAGGTGGGGTGTTTCTGGAGCAACCTGAGGGATGTGTCAGTGTCCTTGGGTTGGGGAGACGGGGAGGGCGTACGGCCTATGGGATGCAGCTCGGTTTGGACGAGCGGGAGCCCAGGTGAGCTGGCTCCCTAGGAATGGCGGGCAGACTGCTTGGATTAGGGAGGGGGTGGCTGGGGACCAGGAGCAGGCCACGATGTGAAGGACTTCAGTGAAGGGTGAGGAGGCTGTTTCTGGAGCGGGAAATCCGGGAGCCTCTTGAATGGTCTTTTGGTTGGTGCCTTCATTTATTTGATCAGTGTTTCTCCAGCACTTTCTGTGTCTCTGGCTCTGTGTTTGTCACGGGGAGATAAGAAGGCAGAAGAACCAAGTCGCTGTCCCTCATGCGGCCTGCACAAAGAGAGGGGGTCCCTGCCTTCCTCTGTCTGCCCCAGGACAGACTGGGGTCTCACCATGGGAAGGAGCCCATTCTCTCAGAAGTCTGCGCCCCAGGGCACTGCTCACCCTGTGTCTCTTCCTGTACACTTCTGCTTCTTTAACAGCATCTGTTGAGTGCTTGCTGTGTGCCAGGCTGTGCACACGTGTGGGATCCCTGCAGAAGCGGTGATCTCTGAATGCGGGGTTGTAGGAACAGATAGACCAGTATCGCGACCAGGGTCTGGCACCAGGAGGAAGAATGTGCTGTGCTGCTCTGGGTGCCCGTCAGAAGGAGGAGGCGGGCAGCCAAGACAGGGAAAACTGGGCAGGGGAGGAGGGCCTAGAGGCTGCAGGGGCAGGTGGGCGGGACTCAGGCTGCTGGAGTAGGAAACTGGGTGGTCCGTTGGCGCTGTGCTCACTCATCATTCAGGGCACATGTGCTCATCATGCCTTCGCTATGCTCTGGTCCCGTGCTGGCAAGCAGTAACGTCATCCCAGCCTTCAGGTGTCCCCAGATAGCCCAGGGAGACAGGCCCATGCACATTCTGTATGCCCTTGGGGGAAGGATGGGCTCTGGGCATCCAGGGGCAGGGAACCCACCAGGTTGAGGGGTGCTGGTCAAACATGAGAATGGACGGGGGGAAGGAGGTCAGAATGGTGGGGACCATCATCTCCTATCCCCTAAACGCTGACCCAGGAGCTACCTTATGAGTCTCTCCTTCTCTCCTGGTTACTGTAATGGAAGATTTGGGGAGCACCGTGAAGGATGCCAATCACTTATTTCTGATGTGGTGAGTGTTTCCCACACGTCTGCCCTTTGCAAGTGCTAGGTCACAAAAGAGTCTTGGAAAATGCTGGGGAGAAAACCCGGCAGGCACTTCAGGGTCATGGGCAGGAGAAGGGTCCCCCAAGTTTAGGCCACCTCTCAGTCACTCTGAATCCAAGGCTTCACGTGCCACTCTCCTGGGAAGCTTTTGTAGATATTGGTGTCTAGGCCCACCAAGCCAGTTGGAGCCTTGGGGTAAACTGAGGCATCAGGGTTTGTACCAATTGCAGCCTGCCCTAGGCTGGGCAGGGGTGGGGGCGGGGGCAGCAACGGCATGGGGGCTTTGGGCTTTGGGCTGTCCTCTTGACCTCTTGGGTGCACGTTAGTGGTACCGGGGAGCCGGGGAACTGCCAATCTCGGGTCCCCAGGGATTCTCCCTTGTGCCCCGGGTGGAGGCAGCTGCTCTAGGATGTATGGGTTCCACGTGGGACAGGGCAGGGCACGCACGGACCAGCTAGGAGACAGGACCCACTGAAGGCCGTACAGCTGGGCCAGGGTGCCTGGGCTTGACCGACAGCGTGCTGTCCCAGAGGCTCAGCCGAGCGGGTGGGGTGGGGTGGCTGGGCCCAGCACTTCGCTTCCGGGACCCTGAACCCAGGACCGAGGAGAATCTGTCATTTGTCCGGTTGAAAAAGACAGCTGAAGCTGCACTTGAGTGTGAATGTACTTCAAGACCTGGCAAACTAATGACTTTTTCCCCTAGTCTGTTCACGATTTGTCATTAACGTGATCCCGGTGGTCTGTTGAAGAGCACTATTCTTAATGGATGAGTAGGAAATGCTCCTTTAATGAAGAAAGATGGGAAACTTGGCTCCTGTCATTTACGGAAGACTAACATATACTCTAGTCCAGAACATATCGTTAAACCACCATTAATGCGATTTAACATTTAAATTCCCTGCAAGCACAGCAGTAACTTTTTAAAAATGAGCACTGTAGAAAATCGTATTTTTGGCTCATTTTTTAATAACTACTTCAGAAACATTGAACAATAATTAAACACGTAACATTTATGCTGGTGAGCAGAATGGTTAAGAGTGATCAGTGAGGCGCTGGCATCACCCTTTTTTCTCGTGGCGTGTCAAGGTAGGATCGCACGTGAACCCACGGGAGGGAGCCACTGGATGCGTGTGTCACGGGGACAATTTTGATAGAAGTATATGCAGGTATAATTGTTTTACATTTATGATTAGTGTTTTTATAGCATGCTAATATGGCAATTAAGTTTTCTGTAGTTCTGTCATTTAAAATTCATTGCATACTTGCATATGTTTCGTTTGCATAATTTCCAGGCTGGCTTAATTATCTGAAGGCCCCAACTTGCACATGTGTTTTCCTTTAGGGATGGGAGTGTCAGGAGTGTGTGTGGGGGGGCTTTTTATTGCCTCTGTTCCTGTTATGACATCCTGGCCTTTTAGAATTTCTCTTTTAATAAGTGAAGTTAAAATCTGGGAGTGGGGAGAAGGTGTGAGCCCTCGTTCTCGGTCACTAAGAAGCCTGTGGTGGTACCGCGTGTGACGGATGGAAGGCCGCCCACACCGTTCCCTGGCTCATAACCCTCGTTGCTCCACTGCCCTGGATGGAAGGCCAGCTCTGGCCTGGCCCACAGGGACCCCCACCGGCCGCTGCACACACATTCCCACTCCTCACCTCCCACGTGCTCTGGCCTTGCCGAACGGCAGCCTGGACATGCTGCCCGGTGTGCTCGACGCAGGCGTGTGACCTTTCTCAGGGCCTCTGCTCTGTTTCTCCCTCTGCACCACTGTGTTCTCCAACAGCAGGGCTGACTCCAAACCAATCCAAAGCTGGCCCAGAACCGTGTGCTGATACTTAACTTGTCACGCAGTAGCTCAGACCTCTTCCTCCCTGGGCCCCCAGGGCTGGGGCCCTCCTGGGGTATGGTGGTCCCGCTGCACAGCACGGTATCATCAGCACAGTATCATTCATTTGTTTGGCAAGTCTGCACTGAGTATCCGTGGTGTGCCCCTCGGGACTCTGAATGTGGGGGGTTTGCGGGGGTGGAGATATCC